CCTCTGGGGTGCATTACCCCCGGGCCGGGAGGTATTGAAGACGCGGCCCCTGTGATGGGTCGCGCACGGGGCCTTATGTCAGCAGCAGGCACAGGATCCAGATCTGGAACCTAGGTGACAAACGTTTGTGCCTTGCCGGTCTCCTGAGCCCACTCAGTCATGATGTCCCCCATGACAAAACACTTGCAACCAACGTACTGCACCCGAGGTTCCCGTCCTTCAATTTTGCCCTTCGCTTCGCCAGTACTTAGCGCCACTCAGAAGCTGACTCACCCATGAGTCAGCTCCCTGATCCAGTGCTTCACTCCATTCACTACCTCTCCATCCCACAACTAAACCGAACACCACTTTCTAGGGGGGGAGGGCTGGGTGCGAAACAAGATAAAGAGGGGACCGAGGGGCCCCTAAATAGCCAGCCCCGCTCAGCCCCGCCAAAGCCCACCAAGCCGAGGGCGCCAAGGTTGGCGGCACCTCGTGTTTTAGTACTTTGACTGACTCACGGTACTAGGGTGGCCAGAAGTCCCAAGGGGGCGGGGGCTGAGTAAGCCCCAGGTTCAAACTGCACCGTTTGAATCACCGGCGCAGGCCACCTGTCGTCTCCCTTGGCAGAAACCCACTAACATGATAGTTAACTTCATTGATCACCGCGGCCCAGTGATCGGCGCGGCGCGGCGCGCTCATGGGGAGCTGTTGGTGACCCACCACTCATTAGGCGTTGCGAGCTATTTTTTAATGGAATTCGGCCTCTTTGGTGAGGCTGCGTGTTCTTTAGATGCTTGCACTCCAAGCTGCCGAAGGGATGGCAGAGTCGGCCATAAGTATTGAGTTTCGTGGCGCATGGGATGACCCCAACAAGCCCTCACCGCAAACATTAAAATCTGCGCATTGTTGAAACAATTTACCGTTCGAGAGATTCATCGAGGAACCTGCTCCTCGGGAGTTTGAACATTTATTTCGTTAATGCCTCGCTGTTAACAAGACTTAGATTCAGTCTGAAGATGTTCTTATAAAAGGCAACGCTCGTGAATCGCATGGCCTGTTGCGGCTGTTCGTGACAGAATTCTTCCATTACAATTTGTGAATCGGATAAAGGATAATATGATAGAACAGAATGAGCAAAGGCTGGGCTTCGTCCAATGTGTTGTGTCACGTGACCCTTTGTAGAGCTAGAAAGCATAGTAGTAGTAACCTCACAAAGCATTTCTTGCAAATGGGTCCAGACATTGGAGTTGCATTTGACCGCGTGTTCATGCTGTGAGGAAATCGACAATTCTGTGACCACTATGGGATAATGTACTGCTCTGAATTGCGTGGAGACACCAAGAGAATTTCCCTCCGAACACGCAGGAACGATGTGTTGATCATAGACGAAAACTTTTCACCAGGGTATCTTGTCTGCAAGGAAAGTTGGGGGGAAGTTGCAACTTCCTTGCCAGCAATTGCTGGCTACTTCCGCAGCCTGACGGGTTCCGATCGCCCATCTGAAATATTACAATGCGAAAGGACTTCTAGAAATCCTTTCGCATTGGGAAATCGGGGATCTGGAATTTTCCAATCTGCAATCTGGACGAAGAAGAATCACCAGACCAATGATGCAAGGGGTGAAGAATTCAACGTCTGGGTGGTGGACTACAGTTGAAAGGTCAAATTTCTCTTTTTGCCTTGCATTGCGTTCTTTCACATGTTTCCAAAGTCCCTGCATTCCAGTATTTCTATCCCGTGCTGATTTCTGCGTGCATCAAGCTTTTAGTGTGTCATGTTTGTGTGAATGCTGTTTCAGTCCATTTTCACCATTGAATACTTCGGTATCAATAAACACAGAAAAACCCCTCGCGCCAACATGTTTTGCAACTGGACTAAGCTTTCCAGAACGCATATATTGTGGTTTGGGGCTTCCTGTCTTAAAGCAGTCATTATGCTGGTATAGGTGACTCAGACAATTTTCCGTGAACCCCAACTCAAGAGGCCCTCAGGTCTGAGAGCTCTAGAGCCGCCACCCATCACATAACCACAATGCTCGTCACTTCAAAAGGAAACGCAGCACTAAGCAAATAAGGCGCGATCAATAAGATCTAGTTGCAGGCAACTTCAGCTATCCCGATTGCCATGGAACATAGCAGAGTTCGTGCCCAGCCACACCCTTTTGAGTCCATGCCCTCACAGGCAGCCTGACAGGACATTGATACACAATCTATGCTCCCAGTGAACGGCGGAGAGGGTTGAAGGTTTTGATTACCGCGAACTGCGTCGTGGTTCGTGCACCGATGGGCGCACATCGATCTGCCGTCGCTTATTCCCAGCTGAATGCGGTGTGGTCGCAATGGTCATCTAAAGCTTTCTGCATGGCCTTGGCGAGCACCTGCTTTGGGAACTTGAGCTCAAGGGATGGCAGAGCCCCTGGAGTGGAAGGTGGTTTCGGCTGCATCTCGTTGTACGTTCCTGCTTTCAGAGAGTCGTCGTCCCAGACTCCGTCGAGCCTGCAGAGTGCTCGATTCCCAAGTAACCACGACGAAGAAGGAGAAGAAGAAGATTTGCCACATATGGTGCTGCGAAAAAAAGTGCACGCCACTATCCGTGCTACATTCACAATACATGACCAAGCAACCACGAAGCAAGCAAGAAACTCAAGATAAGGATTAAATCAGCCGTGGATCATGTTTCGGTTCATACGGCTGACATATGACTTACTGCAAATCTGCAATAGCGGCCCCTATTCAAGAAGAGATTCCACTTTGCAAGGTGGAATGTCAGTTGAAATGAGCAGTTCCCCTCGAATTTGCACTGAATTCTAGTAACTAAACCCCGTGCTACATCCGTTTGAATGTTCGAAGCTCTTTCCAGATTACGCCGAAACCATGAATGAATAGAGACTTGCTGCGCAACCCCAGCATGTCACATCGTGCTCATCGGTCGCCGATACTCTTCATAGCGAACAATTCTTGCATGCCACATGTGGTACAACCCGGCAGTGCCATTTTAAATCTGTGACTTTATGCTGTAACCTCGTTTTCTCAACACGCCGCAAAATAGAGAAAAAATACCCGTTTATTTGTTGTTGTGTGTAAAAACGCCAACAAAAACTGGTGTCATAAACGCAAAGACCAAGCCTACTCCAACGCCATCTGCGGCGCAGCACATGGATAGATCACGCTTGGGATACTGTGCATTGCGTTGATTTGTAGGCCATGCCGTTGTCTACGAGTTTTATGGATGACCAACCACACCTCTTTCCTTTGGACATAAAGTAGTACGTTCCGTGTCCACTCTTTTTGTCGCCCCGCCAGTAGCCTTCGTATATGTCACCGTTCTCATATGTCATTGTTCCTCGGCCGTGCCTGAGAAATGCCATGCTGATTTGAGAAGAACCGACCATCGTATTGCTCCCAATGACTTTGCACATATGCGGAACCTGCCATGGAAATTCCACATTTTCTGGCCTGAGGGTGTTACTACAAAGTGCTGCAAAATCCACAGTATTTGGTGAATTGACTTAGTTTTTCGACTGCGTGCTCCAAGGTCTTGTGAAAACCGTTGGATTCAATATCGTTGAAAATTGTATTGCCTGTGGTTGAGAAAGGTGCGTCAAGTTCACAAGGTGCAGTTAATATTGGACAGAGAAATCAGCAGTACGGAGTCAGGGCTGCGATTGAGGATAGAGATCAGGATTCAAGATTGACGGGGATTGGGCTCCCCTGCTTTCCAGTGGAGTGAATGGTCAGGGCCGGAAACTAACTGTGCAATGAACAAATGCATCCTTTGGTGCAAAGCACTGAGCCGTAGCGGATGCGCCACATGCCCTTTCCAACTGCGATTGTGCACTTGGGGGGAAGGGGGGGGGCAACTTACTTTAAATTGTTGTCCCAGTCTCCCTCATAGACATTGCCTCCGAATCCATCAATGGCCCTTCCACCATAGACAGCGCGTCCCCTCCCCTGCCGTTTTCCATTCTCCCAATGTCCTTCGTACATGTTTCCGTCCTCGTCGTAGAACAAGCCTTTGCCCTGATGACGGTTAAAAAAGACCTCTCTGGGCGAACAGGGCAATGAGAGTCACCGACTTGTACCATCCTTTCAGATTTTTTTCAAGGAAAAGCTTATATTGCATCGAAGAACTTTTTCCATTGCGGACTCACAATTGCTCCAGCCCTGGGAAGTTCTTGCAGTGCTGACCCTGGCATTAGAGCGCTATTTGCAAAATATGGCACACTAACCACGTGTTTTTCGAAGTACCAGGCTTGGTGTTTACTTGTGCATTTTCACGTTTTCACGTTTGCGTTTTAGTGTGTACAAGACGTAAGCACACAGAGGCGGCTATTTATACAGCTGTGTTTACGCATTTTTGCGGCACTTTGGGACACTCAGGTTGCATGATGAAGTCGCATACAACGATCAGTCCTCCGGCCCACGAGCACACGCAACACAGCGGCGACCACGCCCCTGGCAAGGGCAACGGCGGCGTCGAAACAATAATTCGATATCTGCCCACTCCTGTGCGGCTGGCTGCCACTCCCCGGACTCCCTAAGTCTGTGTGTACTGTCTTTGTGTAGACGGGGCTGTATTTACGTCTGTATTTACATATTTTTATGCATGTTTGGCAAACATGATTACCCGTAAACATTGTTTTCGCGTCAAAAGTTAAACATTATTCTTAAGCGTATAAACGCAAATACGATCTGTGTTTACGCCGTACATACCGAGCCTGTGAAATTGGTATACGGCAATATCAGCAAGCAAGCGCGCTCTGTAAACAGTTTGCTTCAATCGAGTTCAATCTTCTCGAAATTCAGGGGAAGTGTGTTGCTCAATAGTTGCTTTTTGTGGAGCATCCATCACGCGTGCAGTGGTGCCCAACAAGTGCTGTCTCGGCTCTGCATTACGCAATCTCTTCCCGCCAATTTGAGACGCCCACAAATGAACCACTATGGTGACAATCCTTCATTTCCGCCTCATGCATCACTCTTAGGACTGCGAACGGGATCGATCCTCACCATCGGCACATTGGCCTCCCAGCTTCCGTTGTACCGGAGCCTGTACTTTCCGTCGTGGAATATCCAGAGAGTCCCCAACCCTTCGCGCATCCCATTTTTCCAGTCTCCTTCATATTTGTCGCCGTTCCTGTAGAAGTGTGTACCTTTTCCTGATGTCGCACCCAAAACGTTTTTCTTCACGCTTCCCATATTTGCGCCGGGCGCAACACTTTATAAACATGTGGAGCATGCACTGCGATTGCAATGCATGACGGATCCCCGGAAGTGTGATCCACATGTCCGCTAATTCTGCCAGCAGGGCATACTTCCACTGAAGTCAATAGCCCCATACAACCACAAGAACAGCAATATGTTTGCGCCAATGGTGGCAATTAATTGCAACGACACCCCCATTCTTGCGTATTATTGCCTATTCGGTCCTTCGACCTGAATGTAGCATTGTCATTTCAATGGGGTAAAAATGTAAAGTAAGACGTATATAACGGAAATTTCCAAGTTGAAATCACAAATAGAATTTGATGCAAATTTCAATTGGTGGCAAAAGTAATGCCACTGTTCTTAATTTTCTGGCGAGTTGCATCATTGCAAACTGACAGTGAGCAGAAATTGGACAAGATCTATTGTTTTCTTCTTTTTCCTTGTGGGCAATGTAGACAAGCATTGAAGTGTAGAGAAGCATTGAAATGTACTGCCGAGATTCCCCAAATACATTACTTCTACTGAAATCATGAATGGCGCTGCCCGCTGCCGTTCAGGACGCATCAATTTTCCAGCCATATCCCAATATGGCGGAACGCACAGCTTCATCAAGTTTGGTAATTTCAGTCTGCGTCTGGTACTGAGACGAGCATCGACAGCTTATTCATTGGCTTCAAAAGTTCCAATATTTCATGTCGAGATGCAAAATCCAATATTTGCAGGTGTTTCCCTACGAATCTGTCACCATCGCGTTTGTTGCCTCCCCATTCTCCGACGTACTGCGCTCCATTCACCCAGTAGACGGTGTGTCTCGATCCTTCCTTCTCGGCCTGACCAGGAACAAATAAATGGGCGTTGGCTCCCAAGAACTTTCCGGTGTCTTGCATTAAAATACAAGGACTCATGGCAGCATCCGCAGCGGAACCTTATGACATTAGAGGTGCGTTTCCTGAGGCGCAGCATGCACATTATGAGTCGTAAAATTTTGGGTATGAGTTTCACCCTGGAGCACCTCTTCTGTATGCAAAATATTTGTCAATAAAGTGTATGTCCTGGCATGAAATTTGCCATCACTAGTTCAAGATAGATATTCTTGCTGTACCAACTTGACATCAAATCGTAGGGTTTCTGCGAGTGCCCCTTGATCTGCTGATTTCACTTCACCATAAGATGGACAATCAATGTCAAGCCGATCCGCTGGAGATGCGCATGTCCTACTAGTATTTGGTTCAGTACTTGGAACTAAATGAAACGCGTAGAGGTTCCCATACATGGCTGCACCGAGTCGATTGGCATTTCTCATACAATGCTGCTACGGCCTCAACGCTTTCAAAACCCCAAAACGGCAAACAAGAACTTTGTGCTTGTTCAGCTCACCGCTCTTTCCCAAGTCTTCCACAATTGTTGCGTCTTCCGAAGCGAGTCCGCAGTTAGCGTCCCTTCTACGTGTGGCGGCATTTTGACACAGTGGAGCAGAAACTTGTTTGCACATGAGCACGTATGTCCTCTCCAGGTGGCATATGCCGTTGACCTGTCAAACACGTTAGGCAAGATCGGACAGAAGCAACAATCATCATCATCATCATCATCATCATCATGAGTTTTTTTTACAGAACAAGGCAATGAGGTAGCCGTCAGCTTCCTATTTTGCCTGAGCAAAGCAGTGTCGGTGATTGGTTCATTGGAAGCAACAATCACCCCCCCCTTAGCCAATCAATCGAGAAATGTTACATGTCGACGTCATCATCAAACAGGCCAATTCTGACCTGTCAACCAGGAATGCTGCACGCAGGTGTTTTCCACAGAAGTAACATATTCGTACATTTTATTGCCTTAAAGTGCACACCAAAGTTGAACCGGCGTACATCAGCAAGAGATGAGATGATGTTCTGCAGCAGCGCTGTAAGTTTTCTTGCCAGTTTCACGAATAATAGTTGTCTTTAAAAAGGCGGCAGGGAAGTCTTCCCAAGATAGTCTCTTAGAGACTATGTTGAAATTGTTACGCTCGGCGTTAATTCGATGGGGGGGGGAGGATCCTAGAACTGTGACGCTGAGATTGCAAAAAAATCGACATAAGCTGGAAAGATGCCAAAAAGCGCTGCTGATCAGCAGCAAAACACTCATGAATTGCTCACAAAACCTCCCTGAAATGTGCAGTCATCGGGGAATTCCTTAGAATGTGTCAATTTACAGCTATCAAGGCTACCCGCCTTCCCTATAATGGCTTTAAAAATCCTATTTTCCTGCCCATCGTATTTGCACAACTTTGAGGATTTTTTCTTCTCAATACCAGCCAGATTTTTTGTTCCGCTGTTACGTTTTGTCGCTGAGTCATCCTGGCATCGACATAAGGATTGGCGCTTGGGGTTTATGCTTAATGTGAAATTGACGGTAAGCGTAAAAAATCGACATAGCACCTTCCCTTAGTGCATCTCCGCAGCGTGATAGCTCACAACGAACAATGCTGAAATTTGACTCAATCTTCCTTGACAAAGCATTGCCAAACGATGTGAGAAGTTCCTTAAAAGTATGCCGTACTCCCCATATTAAAGGTCATCAAGATTCCCCTGGCGCCATAAAGTTGTGAATCAGCCAAAAAACCCGGTGGGGACAATCCTCAGCTGCCAATAGGAGTGCCACTAGCTCTCAATTCTGCCCAGCTAATCAAGCCCGAATGACTAGAATGCAAGCACTCGCAAATGGGCAACATTCAATTTGCCGGAAATTGCTCTGACGTGACCAGTTTATCAGTTTGCAGTTTGCCCGTTACTCTGGACATTGTTAAGCAATTAGCTTTCCAAAGTCAGCACCGCATCTGGTTTTCAACGTAGCTCGCTCAAGGCAGCATGACATTTCCATCCGTGTCTGCATACAACATCCAGCTCGCACCATGCGGCCGCGGTAGAGCACGCCCCGGCTGGATTCACAGCGGCTTGCATCCTGCTGATCGAGGCGTACCACGGGAAGGGGCAATACGAGTAACCGGCAGAGGCGCTACAAGGCCTCGCGGATGCCATCCCTCAGTTTCAGCAAGCAGCAATACATTGATTTTGACAGCGTTTGAGAAGCATCTTCAGGCAACGCCGTGGCGAGCCCTTGATAACATTGGTCTGTAACAATGGACTGCTCCATTTATTCCCCCCCGTTCCTTTTGGCAAGCGGTCATGGTCGTCTCGGAAGGCTGCATTAATGAGCGCAGCACCCTGCAGTGCCAAATGCCCTGCAACCAGTATTCGCAATTTCGGCTGGTGGGCATTGTGTTGAGGCTGCGAGTCTCAGGCCCACACAGCTCTCTCCTGCACTGTCGGCCAGTCAAGGCTGAATAGCGCTCCCATCCTGCGATGTGGCATTCAACATCGCTGGTAATGGCTGGGAGCAAAGTTCCATTCATAAGGAGCTGGCCTCCGTACCGAACAAAATGGCACCACCACCATGCCTGTATACATGTGATACCGTACCAAGTTGCGTTGCAACTCAATTTGGACTGGGTTGGAAGTTGTCCCCCGTTCCTCCTGGCCCTATACTAAGCGTCAAGCACACGATTTTCTGGTACCACATGTAAAGCAATATGTGCCTTGCACTAATCGTGCATGACGTGTGTCTCTGAAGCGTCATCAGCGTGATCCCTCTTTATGTGGTGGACAAGAAGCCAGCGATTACGTGACTCTCACGGCTGCGTGCTCATCTCTGTCATGGAACGAAATTTGCAAGGGGCATCGCACCTTCCGCATCTGCCTGCATTCGAACCAACGAAAGGCAACCAACATGTCGTCAAACATTCTGCAGCCCTTCAAAATTGCAAGCGCCCATTCATCAAGCGCCCGACCGTCAAGCACTGCCTTACATCCAGCGCACAGGTGTGCACGCGACACGAAGGGCAGCCAAAGACTTCAGTTCGTAGAAGTGCAGTTCAGCCGGCAGGCTGTCCTGCTTCAGCAGGACGCGCTGCACAGCGCATGCCTGGCATCAATACGATCTCCTTGCCCGGCACAACTGGCCATCTAATTGTTGCAGACCAATTTCAAAAACCCTCCTGTGTACAAGGGGGCCGACACTGTAGACAGTCGCTCAGTGGCACAATGAATTGGCGCGTCTCTTTTCCATGCAAACAGCCTCCAGCACCGCCGCACTGTCCCTGCCACGATCATCACGACTCCTGCTTATACTCCCTGAGAATAACCTGCACGCTCGTGGTGGGGATCATCCCGAGCTCAGTGACGATCAAGTTCACGTATTCTGCTGGCATCAGGTCGTACTTTAGATTCAGCAAACTGAGCTTCTCTTTGTCCTGCCAGCCCTTCAGGCCGTCGCTGTGCGGCTGCGTCTCCACTGTGCTGATCATGTTCGGATCGCCAAGCTCGTTCTGCGTGAAAGAATCCAGCTGGACCTGGTCATGAAACTTGCAAGTTTCGGAGGTGACAATCACTGGGACGTTGTGGGCATGTGCCATCATCGCCACTGCGGCCGTGCCTAAGCGACCCACGACCCTGCCATTGGACAACACTGCTGAGGCACCCAGGACGACCTGCATGCACCACAAACCACGAGGCGAGTGAATACATGCATAGCGCGCGTCCACAGTGGTCATGCCATGTGTCCTTTCCCAACAAGCAATCCCACGGCAAAACAGACCGTCTGCACAAATGCATCCGCCAGCACCACCATATATTGTGCACACTCCGCCTGTCCACACGCTCATCAGGCCTCCCATTTCTGTCGATGACCGATGCCTACAGCTGTGTCTGGCAATCAGTTCCTGGCAGCAAAGCTGCCAAAGCTGTTGGAGCAGTTGAAAACGGAATGCAAGGCGGGCTCGCAAAATGTGATTATATGCCTGCACTGCCACTATTCCCAATTGACTTTAGGTCAATCGAATACCTTCGTTGCTTCTTTCATCACACACGAAATTGCATTTACATAGGCATATGTGCAGGAGATGCCCTCCTTCACAAGATCCTGGAGCATTCTCTGGCCGTCCAACTCAGGGCGAGAGTCGACCACCACGACGCGGAAGCTACGTTGGAGTTCTGTCTTGGCCTCCTTCAGAACTCGCATCACGGTGTTCGACCATGAAAATGTCAGTATCACATCCCCATCGCGAACCTGAAGAATCACCAAGGACAGTGGCACAGGTCACACCATCAGCCAAGCAGCCTCGATTTTCAAACTTAAACATCCGTGGTATCCATGGCATGTTAGCTCAAACTGTGTGCATTGCTCAGCCAGTGCAAAGCCAGGAGCCAACAAAATGGTTCTGTACACAGATCACAGTGGGCAATGGCACTTTCAACATCATTGCTTACATTGGGGTGCTCAGCATACAGCATGCTCCTTCTTTCTCAACGACTGGCAAAACAATGAGCAACACCACCACCTGTATTTGGCATCTCCATTCAGTAACCTCTCAGTTTCCACCATGCCTGTATCCCTCAAACCTGGGGTGCCAGGACATGGTTGACCTGCCTCTGTTGAAGGCGAAGCGCCGAGAAAAGACTCACACTGGGAGCTGTGGAACAGCCAGGCACAGCCCACCTTTTCAGCAGCATGCTGGGACAAGGCACGCACAGCGTCTGTGATCCTCTCATGTGCATACTGCCGAATCATTTCCTCCACACAGGATATGCCTTCTCCAAGAGGTATGCCAGGATCGACCTTCGAAATTCTCAGCTTCACGTGCTTTATGGCATTCTTCATGCTCATGTTCAGTGGCCGGCACTCCACCAGGAAGTTGATGTTCGGACTCAAAACGGCCGTCAGCTCTCGTGGTTGGAAGGTCCCATCGATGCTTCTGAAATCTTGCACAACCTGAAAGCAGTGCAAAACACCACCAATCCTTACATTGCCCAGCCAAGAAAACAACTTCCATCGAACACAAGGCCATGGACAACCTCACTGAATCACAGCTGCTTTCTCCTAGCACGAAGGACGGACTCATTTGTGTGTTGCAGATGCTTACATGGTGATGATCGGCCAAAGTCCCAACCAAGAGCGACCAGCTAGGTGAAAGGGCTTAGCTCCGCCACGTGGTGACATATGTAAGAAACATTTCAGAAACTAATTCACTCGTCCCTTGCCCACTTGGCGCCACACTACAAATCCCAATGGCAAGCCTTCTCCAAGAACAACCTTTAGGATATGCCATCCATGTCCTGGCATGGGCCTACCTGGACAAATGCTTCCAACATTGCCGCTGTCCTGGCATTTCCGCCACGCACTGTCCCATCTGCAAACTGCAGCCCCAGCTGAAGAATAGCTGGATGCAATTCCCACGTTCCAGGTCTTCGTACAATGGGCCTACCTGGACAAATGCTTCCAACATTGCCGCTGTCCTGGCATTTCCGCCACGCACTGTCCCATCTGCAAACTGCAGCCCCAGCTGAAGAATAGCTGGATGCAATTCCCACGTTCCAGGTCTTCGTACAACCTCTGCTTTCGATATCTGCTTGTATTCTTGTAGG